TTGACGAGGGACTATTTGGGCCTGTGCTGAACACTTGGTGTTGACGACATTCCCATCTTCCCTTCTGCTTCGTCTAACCCCACTTCCTTCGTCTGTGTATGGTTGGGGCTGACGCAGTCTTCTTGTGTGAAGCGCCAGACCCCTTCACACCATGATGATGATGATGTATGTTCGGGGCTGCATTACAATATTGATTGTTCGGATCATTGGTATCTAAGTCTTCCGCTGTGCTATCTTATACTTTGTATTGAAAGGTCGGTTCTTGTTCTGGTCTGCACCTATACGGTATGCAACAATGGGTGACAGCACATGCCCCGTTGAGATATCTAGGTATCAAGATAACGGCAGCGGGACCACACTATACAATGGCAGCGGATCTCATGTCCAAGATTCTAACAAAGTCGGGAGCCTGGCCAGCAGTGTACACGTCAGTCTTCGGCAGGGCCTTGATCCTAAGCACATCTCTATCTTCTCGATGCTATGGTACGCAGGGACAATTTGGACCCCACCAGCGCAGACAGCATCGTTATTGAGAAGAAGGGCGGCAGCATATCTTTGGACATCCAATGCGACTAAACCACACTTCATATCCAAAGTAGCGTGGAAGTACGTAACCTAAGCGAAAGAACAAGGAGGTCTGGGTATTCTGGACCCAGAACAGCAGCTCAGGGCGCTCCAAACGAAATGGATTTTTATAATAATTTCCCACCAAAGGCAACCTTGGACGTCATTGGCGCTACATAGGATGAGACAAACGGCCACATACAAGACGCCTCTGAATATGTCAGGTCTGTTTTGGGTGATGTGTAGCACTTGGGCCAAGGTGGTCACAAGAGAGGGAGACAGAACTAACACAGAGGAGAGGCACAGGGCGGCTTCGTACTGGGGACAAATGCTGAAATTGTGGAAGGAGATCTTCCCGGACAAGGTAAAGGAACCACATACGAAAGAAGAGACTCTCTGGCAACCGTTGTTCTGCAATTCCAGCATTAAGGATGCGCAGGGGAAACCGCTGACTCTCACTGCTAAGGACTCTAAGTGGGGAAAGTGGTTAGAGCATGGGATATGGCAAATCAAGCATCTCTGGTTAGAGGGAGAAAAACGGTGGAAGACAGCTAGGGACCTTAGGACAGAAGTTAAGGGATGCCACAGACTAGCGGAGAATTACAAAACCCTGCTAGCAGCCATACCGCAAGAGCAGACGGAGATACTGAGGAAGGGAACTCAGTGCGGCTTAGGAGACTGGGCCACATGGCAACAAGATAAGGAACCAAGTGAAGCCTTTAGAATCTGGGACCAATCTGGGACCAATCTGGGACCAGGTGCCTACAAGAAAGGAATGGCTACAAGCGGAGATGTATACCATCGCAAATCCGGGTAACACTACTAGCCTTCTGGATAGGGACTCCAAAACACCAATCACCATCCAAGTGCAACACTTGCGTAAAGTGAGCATGGTGGAGACGGAAGACTACACAATATTCTGCCCGACTATACCGGTGGAAGAATTGGAGGTGGACCTGGGTGAATGGGCGTGGAACATTAAAGGGGGGAAGAATGGGAGTGGCAAGAAGGGTCAACATATTACATTACACCACTCGAATTGGTTACAGACTGCGAAGGAGATCTCATTCCTTGACGATACCACTATCAAAGCGCTGGGAAAACAAGGTAGGGGTGTCACCGAATCAACTTCCCAAAATACCATGGACGATGATCAACTCGATACGCTTGGGTAGGGTCAGAAGTATGCAGTGGTTAATAGCGCATGTGGCATTTCCGGTAAATGCATGGCTAAATGAAAGGAATAGTCAAGTCCAGAGGGATCCAGCTAACACCTGTTGTAAAATATGCCAAGCGGGGACCCCAAAGTCTATGTTGCACTGCATGCTCGAATGCGAGGAGGCAAACAGTATATTGGGCGGTAACTAGTATTCAAAGAGGGAAACTGATTTTTAAATGGAGAACGGAAAGTCTGGGAGCGAAATGGCAGTCTAAAGTTAAGGAGGCATAGTAAAAACTACTCTAATTCTTTGGTGAATAGGATCTGTGTCCTATAGTTACTATTCTGAGACAGGAAGCATAGCTAAGGGGCATAGGGTTTAGGGTTTAAGAAGAGCAGATAGAAAGGAGGAGGAGGAGGAGATACTTGGAAAGAAAACTGGGAGTAGGAATGGTAGTCCTTCGGCTCCTAAACGCATAATAGGGGCAGGTTGGATTTTTCTTTCCTTTTTTTTCTTTTTGATTGTTCTTAAATTCTTAATCCAGTTTTGTAATTGTGATTATTGTTCCGGAATAGCATGTATTTTAATAGGTGAAGGGGGACACTGGACCTGGTTTCCACTACGAGTCTGATCTGGGTATGAGTCTAACTCTTCCGGGTTGAGATGTGGAGGGATTCCCGGCCTACTTTTGTGCAATACATAATGAAGTGCGAGGATCAGGGTCCTCGGTAGGCCTATGGGGCCCTGTCTGCAGCCTTACCCGCCCTAAGTGAAGGCGGAGGTGCTCGCCCTAAGTGAAGGCGGGCCTGGCTTTTTGCAAAAGGCCTTCGACTGTCAATTTCGTATTTGGGGTTCAGGCAGTTGTGACGCGCCAGTTGGTTGAAAGAAACACAGGCCGAGCAACAAGGACATTTCCACGGCCTACCGGGCCTTTCCGAAGAATGCAGGCCCTGGCCGTGATTCGCAGCCTCATACAGAGACAGTTGGGCGCCCAACCGAACGAGGCCCAGCAGCCCAGTAGCTGCTGCATCCAGGCAGCCTCCTGGGGCCTTCCGCAAGCTTCTGGGCCCAGGCCAAGGCAGCCAGGCTGCGTGAGAAGGCCAACTCTTTCCATAAAGGGAAGAGCTCGGCCCTGGCTGCCTCATTCAAGCACTCGCATGCTGGGTGGCAGCGCTGCTGGAGCTAATGCTCGTAGGCTGCTGCTAGCGCTGGGAGGCGAGGTGCAGCACGTGTGGCCGTGCAGAGGAGGAGGGCGCTGCTGAGGGCAGCGCCATAGCCCAGCCACCATAGCTGGTGGGCTTGGACTGCAGTGAAGCGCAGGGGTGGTCTTCGGGTGACAGAGAGGACAGGTGTGGGTGAAGTCAGGGGATAGGTGAAGGATGATGATGATSATGATGATGYGAGGGCAYGTACCTKGTATTGGCRATGGTCTGCATGGGCGGCATCTTCAAGTACTTCGGGCTGCTGCTGATGTCAACAGTTGCATTGTCTTTTTGTAGTCTGTAGTAGCTGTGTAGGAGTAGGCTGGGCGCTGAGCGCCAAGTGTGAGTGTAAGGGAACTGGACTCTTTTGTTGAGAGGAGAGAGTGTGATCTCCACGGACATTGGTTTTCAGTGCTACGAAACTCCATCGGTGTATTATTGGTGCAATGCTGCTATCTGGACACGGTGTGACTATTTGGCTTGCAATGTGATGGTGTGATTTGGGATTGTCATCTCGCTGTTGCTTATTTTCCTTGCAGAAGCATGTTATATATATAAAAAAAAAAAAAAAAAAAAATGTTATGCAGAAAAATAAACTGAACAACTTTTGCCTCAAGGTCACATCGAACTTCTTTACCAAATTTCAAATTTAAAAAAAAAAATTTTTTTTTTTTTTTTTTTTTTTTTTTTTTTTGCCCGGCCAGGCAAGTCGTCCCGGCCCCCTCTGGTAGCCTAGCATGGCAATTACTGATAAGTAATTAATTAATTAATTTATTAATTAATGTTTACAACTTTACATACCCGCAGAATCGAGGTACGTTGCACTGTCATTGCCAAAGGAACCGCCAGCACTGCTGGTCGCACGCACAACATTGAGGCGCACAAACCACCTCTCCCAATAAAGGCGATCCGGTCTGGTGAACCAGGATATCTTCCTCTCTTCGAAGAACGACAGGCATACTTGGCCTTTCTTGTTTGGATGCTTGTCCACCCACGTACAGAACTGATCGATCTTCTCCTCGATCTTCTTTTCTATTCCAGGGTCTCCAGTCTGTACCTGGCATTTCAAATCACAAAATAATAATAACTTAACTATTAATAAGCTGCACCCACGTACAAAACCGATCGATCTTCTCGCCAGTCTTCTTTTCTGTTCCAGGGTCTCGAGTTCATACCCGACAGTTCAAATCACATAACAACTTAGAATTTAAAAACTACTAATTACAACACAAAAGTGAATAACAAAACGATTTAAAAAACATTTCACAACCTCATGTGTTATCCACAGATCGGTGCTGCAACTACCGTCTTCACCCAAATAGCACAGCCGGTCATGATTGCTGTATTTGGGGCAACTTTCAGTCCACGTACAGCAATAATGACCGCGCATTTTATTCAAGTGAAGACGGTAGCTTTACAACTGTGTGAAGAATGCCAACATCAACCTGATGCACTAAAGTCGAAACAACAGTTAACATGCCACTCTCTTCCTTCGCTTGCACCCCCTCCCCCCCTTCTCTCTCTTTCTCTCT